TCTATTCCTTGTCTACATCAATGACTTGCTCTCCTTACCAGTATCTGCGAAGATGGTAGCGTTTGCTGATGACACAAATATATTATGGACTACGAAAGAAAATCCAACCATCTTCAAGACAGTTATAGAGAACGATCTTTCACAAATTAAGGGGTGGTGTGATGCCAATGCGCTCTGCTTCAACATACAGAAAACAAATATACTGACTTTCAAGTGTGCTCTAAATGATATCATGCTAAAAAATGAAACATTAGAGAATAGAACCACAGTGAAGTTTCTGGGTCTGCACATTGATTCACAGTTGAAGTTTGAGCCTCACATAAATTGCCTAACGAAAAAATTAGCAAGTGCCTGCTATATCATTAGAACTATTTCTCATGAACTTGACAAAGGAACAGCCAGACAGACATACTTTTCATTATTTGAGGCACATGTAAGATATGGGATAGCTTTTTGGGGATACTCCGTGCAAAGATCAATTCAATCAGTATTTATACTGCAAAAGAGAGCCATAAGATATCTATGTGGCGTGGGCTGTAGAGACACATGTAGACCCTTATTTAAGCAAGAAGAAATATTGACTGTACCTTGCATTTTTATTCTTGAGTCTGTCAGTTTGATATTTAAAAAGTTTTCTGGATTTGTGCAAGAGAGAGCGTATAGCCTTCGATACAATCAATTGCCCCTACCTATTCCTAGACTTGCATTGACAAAACACTCGATTATTTATGAGAGCATAAAAATGTTCAATCATTTACCCCGGAATTACGAAACATCAACAAATATTGCCAGTTTCGTGTGTCTGTGAGGAGGTTTTTTGTCGCCAGAGCTTACTATGGTCCTAATGAATTTTACCAGGGTTAACTGCAGATGCATTGAAATCTGTAGATGCGTGTTATATATATTTATTTTTTTTATTTGTTGATGTATTTTAACTAATGATCAAATTTTATAATTGTAAGTTTATTGGTGTATTCTTGTTAATTTCTGTTTTTTATCTTGTAACGATACTTTTACATTGCACCCTAATGTTGTTAAGATTTTTTTATTGAAGTTCCTTTATGTTTATGTTTATTAATGGACTTGCCACTTTACTAAATCTACTTATACAAAATACACTTAAAACAAAAGACTTAAACTAACACAATTACTTGAACTTTGATTACATTACATTACAATAAAATTTTCTTAACCTGTTGAATAAAACTAGGGTTTGAGCAATTGAAAACATCAACATCATCAGCCACAAAGTTCATCTGGCGGCACATTTTCGTTAAAGCCGAATTCTGGTCATAGTTAGTACGATGGTATGGGACAGAAAATAAATTTCTACTTCTAGTAGTTCGCTGGGGAACCGCAAGCCCAACACCTTCTAAAAGATATGGACAATCGACAGTGTTGTTCAAAAGTTTAAATAAAAATCCCAAATCAAGAATTAAACGTCTTGTTTGCAGCGATGGAAGCTTTAGTAAAGTTTGCAATTGATTATAATCAATTTGTTCTGGTGGGATTTTTAGTTTGTAAGCAACAAGTCGAAGAAATCGCTTTTGGACCCTTTCAAGCAAGTCTATGTATGTAGAGTAGAAAGGTGACCATACCTGTGACCCATATTCCAACGTCGATCGCACAATTGCACAAACAAAGCCTTAAAACATTCAATATTATTAAAATCTTTCAGGGTTCTGCCAATAAAACCAAGTAACTTTATTGATTTGTTATAAATGCTCTCAATCTGTAGATCGTATCTTAAGGGACTATCTAATATTACTCCAAGATCTTTATGGAAAATTTCAGCGGATAGTATTTCATTTTTTAAAGAGTAGTCAAATATAATTGGAGTCTTTATTCTATGATATCTCATTACCTGACACTTAGAAACATTCAGTTCTAATCTATTTCTTTTACACCAATCCAAAAACGCATTGAGATCTTTCTGGATCACCTCACAATCGTCTAGTTCCTTTACTGTTTTATAAAGTTTTAGGTCGTCTGCATACAAGAGATAATTACAGTTTTCAATTTCATAATGGATATCATTAATGAATAAGTTAAACAGTAGAGGTGATATGTGACCACCTTGTGGAACACCAGATGTAACATTTATGGTCGAGGAAGTAGCATTATTTATTTTTACCACCTGCTGTCTGTTAGTTAAGTAACTGGTTAGCCAATGGAGTAGTGGTCCAGAAATGCCAAACTTTAAATGTAATAGTGGTAGTAGTGGTTTTAGTTTTTATTGTAATGAATTGCTTTGTCAATGAAAATTATTTTTCTGTACAATAAAGCTTATTTTGATTTGATTTGATTTGAATTTTGTGTGAAATCATGGGTTTATCGCGAGATATACTATTTCAAACCTGTTTTGAACCAGTTTCAAAAAAGTGAACGCGAGAAAACAGCTCAGATCTGCCGAAAATGACAGAAGTAGCGGCGGCAACAATCTGCTCTTCATCAATGTCCATTTGAACTAAATAAACGTCATACATGAAACGCCACTGAAAATCGACAGCCATCTGCTTGGAAACTTAGCCGAACAATTGTCAAGCCAAAGCTTCGCCATACCACAACGCCGTGTGGGAGACTGGGCAAATATTCGTGCGAATAACGAATATTCGCCTATTCGCCGAATACACGTAGTGTCTGGGACCGGCTTTATAGTATATTTCATTGAAGTTGATGGCTCAAATCGAGGTTTAGGACCATAAATTCATTGTAAACCCAATGGTTTATAAAATTGTGTGTCGTAGCAGTAGAGACTTCAAAATTATTAGGGACACCAAGAATATGCTTTGAATTTTAATTTGTCTCTTTATTTTGAAAAATAGAAAGAGAAAGCAAAACAATGACCATGTTGATTCCCGCGTTGGTCTCTCTATTTCTGTATCAGAAAATAGACAATAATATTGATACGATATCGATATTAATTATCAAAGAATATTAGAATATAAAAACGTACATAATATATTTTCAATTTTGGTTTTACACAAGCACAAGAATGTTTAATTTATTTCTCAAAAAAGTTTATCTTACCACCATCAGTAGGTATTCTACAATTAAAATCAACAATCTTTCATCATTATAGAATCACCAAGATATTATTTTTCAACTTTACCAATTTTACCAGTAATATTACGTAAAATTGCCGGTAATTTTAACGAAATTTATTTTACCGGTAGTTTTGCAACTCTACACCCAAATTTAAATAAGTTTTACTTCACTAGAATTTAACTTTCTTCTATAGCTCAAATTTGGTCCACCCTGTAAAATGCTATAAATTGCCTTTTTCGTTAAATTTTAAAACCACCCATTTGTTTATTTATTATCAATATTCATCTATAAAGAGTAAATTTACATAATTGAATTGTTTATAGCAAAAATTCTTATGCAAAGATGAAAATGATGTCACTTTAATTAAATACTAATAATAACCTTTTAACTAAAATGCTTCCTCAATCCTTATTCCTATATTAATACATAATTAATTTTATGTTTTTTAAAAACAAATTGGATCACAGGACAGGGGCCTTATCTTTTCGGTTTACTTTGGCCCGACAAACAAGTCAAGACTTGTCGACTTAATAAAAGCATCATTATTTAATAATAAATTCTTGAATTGGGCCCCAGTTCAAGTTGTTTTCTTGCCTACATCGGACGGTTTCTTTAATTTAAAAGTAAGTCAAGAGTTTTGTTAATTATTTTTAATTGCCACAATAATGTAGTTCATTAATTAAAATACACACTACATTAGAATTTCCCAAACTTGCTACGTTTAGGGCTAAATTATAAACCGACTGGTAACATAATTCAATTTTTTGTTTTACCAGCAGTATAAATTTACCAAAGATGTTATCAGCCCGTCCATTGGTAAAATAATTTAAGCAAGTTCAAGTAAATTACATAATTAGTCATTCATTATCATTGGTTTTTAAGATAAAACATAAGTGTTTCGATTACATAGTAAAAACACCATTGATTAAATGAAAAGTTCATTCATAAAATTGCCTTGTGATTGAGTGGAATATTTTCATTTTGTGTGTGGCCCGGTGTAAAGGTTAGTCGTAGAATTAATGTTTTTCAACCTTGAATTATTATGTTTTTCGATGATGAGATTGATTTTGGCAAAAGCTTGGAATTTAGCAACCATTATAAATTTGATTATTTGAATTTTTATATATTTTCAAATCAATTTTTGTCTATTCCAGGCTCTTGAATTTTCAAGCTAGATTGAAAATTTTTAGTAGAGATTTGTAGAGGATTCAATTGGCTTTATTTCGAGCCTAATTACGTTGAGATCGGATTGAAATTAACAAAGTTGTAAGCTAAAATGTGGTTCAATGTAATTTTGGGAAAAATCAAGCTTCCAAAAAACAACATTGAGGGACGTTTTATTTTTTTTTGAGGAAATGTTTGAAGGATTGGATTGAAAATTTGCATGTGGATAAAGAAAGGATTGAAATGTATTTGAAAAAATTAAAAATTTGCTTCTACTCGCTCACCTTGATCAAAATCACAGCCAAACAACTTTGAGCTTTACAGTTGCGGAACTATTGAAACTGCATTGAAACCATCCATTGGAGACTTGTAGAGGATTCAATTGGCTTTATTTCAAGCCTAATTACGTTGAAATAGGATTGAAATTAACAAAGTTGTGATACAAAATGTATGGTTCAATGTCATTTTGGAAAAAATCAAGCTTTTCAAAAACAACATTAAAGAACGTTTTATTTTTTGAGAAAAATATTCGAGGAATTGGATTGAAATTTTACAAATGGGTAAAAAAGAGATTGAAATTTTAGAAAAAAAAAAATCAAATTTCAATCTTCTCACTCACCTTGATGAAAATTAAAGATTTTAAGCTTGAGGCAAAATTTGTTTTAAAGTTATTTTGGAAAAAACGGAAAACATAAAGAAAACTCAAAAGCCTGGAATAAACAAAACATTAATTTCATTCATTTCGAATCAATTAATTCAATCAACCACAATTCCTTCATTTATTTCAGATGATAAACTTGTAATTCAACACAATGGACTCTGGACAACAGGAAAAGTGCAGCTGCACTACAGAAAGCGACAGCAGCAATTCCGAGTCGCCCCAAACGGAAAAGCGCAGCAAAATGTGCCTTTTCAACTTGCGCAAAGCCCGCTCTTTACACTTCAACTCGAAACGCAACAAAAAACCTCAGAATCCAGTCAAAAAATCGCCCAAGTGGAGCCTCAACTTCAACTCTAGAAAAGAAACGAAACTGGAAAAGCCCGCTTGTTGCAAGTGCGCTTGTGCCAGAAGTTTGGAAGAACCAACCGCTGGACCTTCTATAGCTGTTAGTGAAGAACCTCAAGAGCAAGAGTTAGTTCCAGAACAAAGACCATTTGAGATACCTCAAGTGCACATCGAACAAGCTGAAGGAGTGAGAGGGATTTATGGGATGGCGATGGGTGGAAGTGCAAATGCGGCACCATCCAGTTTTGTTGTTTCGGCACCTTTTCTAGATAGCCCTTGGTAAGAATTTAAATGTTACATTGATTTTTATTTATGAGTTTTTAATTTAGGATGCGAATGATACATGAGGATTGCGATGAGGCTGCCAGAATCGCAAGAGCAAGAGAAATTGAGCAAGGCGTCGAGCCTCCTGCTAATTTTAGGTCGGTCAAAAGGTTGCAGGTGCTTTGTTCAGATTCTGAATCGGAAAATGGACAATCACAAGCGCCACCTAGAAGGTACATAAATATAAATCAAAAATAACCATTTTTTTTAAATTTATTTGTTTATCAGGTTACAACTGGTTTGTCCGCCCGATTTAAATGTGGAATCTTTACGGTCGCTGTTTCAAAATCACGTGCAATTGAGATCTTGTCCGTTGGATTCGATTACCGGGTGCCATACTCAAGTCGATTTTATTCATTGTTTGGTGCCCGATCTTTTGAGCATTACGAATTGTAGTTTTTATTGGGGTGAGTACCAGACTTTTCCATTGATATGTAGTTCAATTGTAAAATTCATTTTTCTGTAATTAAGATTATACTTAAAAATGAATAATTTCTCTTCTTACATTTTCCACAAACAAAAATAGCTCCTCGAAGTGGGTATTTAGTCGAGATGTTTTCTTGTACATCATCTACAAGTATCAGGAAATAAAATTTTCTCTACATTTTTGCTGTTCTCATTCAATCTACATTTAAAGTCAATAATGGGGTAGTATACAAGTGATTTTTAACTACTACGTAGTGATATACTCGACGTATCGTACTGTTTAGTGTAATCAATTGCTTTGTGAAAACCGCAATAGCCAAATTCCAGGCTATTGCTATTGCTCTCAGCTCCGCCCCTACGCGAAAATAAAAGTTCATGACGTATATAGTTAGTTTTTTCAATCTGGAAACTCATCACGGTTTTGAGAACGCACAATTTGCACTGACATTGACCGTCAAGAAGGAAATGTCAAATTTACTACATCAAACAACATAAACAAGTTAAGTGACAATGTCACACCACACCACACGCCGTTGAACTGTTGAAGTCAGCTGTCATTTTGAGCAGCGTTGCTAGATGGCCAACGGCTCGAATACTATTGGTCGCCGCTGTGGCGCTAAATTCAAATTACAGTTTCTTTTTCTCTGACTAATTCTATAGACACTTTGCTGGAAAATAATTTAGTATCCTGTTAGATTTAGAAAGTTCTCTAGTATGAATACTATTTATTAAATGTAACTATAATGACAAATATATTGACAATAATTCAAAACTGGTAATCCAACAATGTGAGCACCAACTTGTATGTCGGTCCATACACAACAGGCCTCCCAACTATATTTAAAACTATAAATCCATTCGTTTAACTGGTTTCCAGATTCGATTTGATCTTCGGTATATTTTAGTGGTATGTTGTTCACTTTGGCCTTCTTCTCTTTCTTCATTCATTCTTGAATTTTCCATGTTAGAAATGTCTTGCGTTTCGGTATCTGAATGACCATTTCTGTTGCTAGTGGAACTCGGAATTTGGTTTTCAATATCATTGGTATTTGTGGTATTTGAAATCTCAGAGTTATCATAATTGTGTGTGGTAGTAGTTGGCTTAGTTTTATTGTGGTTGATTGTATGAGGTATGTTTCCCTCAGGAAATTTAGGTGACATCCTTTGTAAATCGACTTCTGTAGCTTCCATTTGGTCAATATGTCTTCTCCAGATTCTACCATCATGAATTCAACTAAATAATGTAGCAGTCCTTGTTTTTCAGTTACTTTACCTAATTCCCATTTTTTTGAATTATTTATATTGTTACGTACTCGCACTTTATCGCATACCTGGAATTCTCGTGAAGGATAAAAAAAATTATTTCGGATATCGGTTATCTCAGCTGGTCCAATTAAATCAATTTTGGTACGAATGTCCAAGTTTATTAACATCATTCAAGGTTGATCACCTGTACTACTATGTGATGTTTTTCTGTAATGAAGTAAAAAATTTGCTAACTTGCAATTTATATCTCCAGAATCTTGTGGCATTTTTCTTAATGCATTTTTAACTGTGTGGACATATCTTTCTGCCTGTCCATTAGTTGTTGGGTGATATGGTGCGGAGAACCGATGCTTAATGCCATTTGATTTTAAAAACATCTTAAATTCATTGGAAGTAAAAGTTGGTCCATTATCGCTTACTATTACGATAGGCAAACCAAATCTAGTAAAAATATCTTTCAAAACATGTATTGTCTTTGTAGCAGTAATTTGATTCATTGGTATTACTTCCAACCATTTTGAATATGCATCCACTAGGATAAAAAAAAAAATCCGTAAAAAGGACCTGCCAAATCTATGTGTAATCTATGTCAAGGACTTTAGCTGTTCTCCCAACAATGTATTGTCTTTTTAGGTTGATTTTGTGATAATTGACAGGTGATACAAGATTTAGCAATATTCTTTATATCTTTATCAATATTAACCCACCAAATGTATGATCTTGCCAGATTTTTCATTCGAAATATTCCTAAATGGCCTTCATGTAATTCTTCTAAAACTCTGTTCTGTAAACTTTTTGGTATCAATATTCTATTATTTTTCATTATAACTCTATCAGCAAAAGAAAATTCAACATCTCTTCCTATAAAACCTTCTTTTTCGATGTTCTTTCCCTGTGATAAGCAAATATAAATGTCTTGTAGATTTTCTTCTTTCCGTGTTTCTTTGGCAATTTCTGTGTGTGTGACAGGTAATTTTATAATTTGCTGTAACTGGTAAGCATTCACATCGTCACAATTATAGTTATTTCCATTATTTGTTATATTCTTGGGGTAATCTTGACAAAGCGTCAGCATTGGCATGGTTTGAAGTTGAACGATAAATAATTTTGAAATCAAAACCTTGTAAAAATTGAGGGTAATGTAACATTCTTGTAGCAACCATTGAAGGTAAATGTTTTTCTGGGCTAAATATTGAAACTAAAGGTTTGTGATCCGTAATAAGTATAAATTTCCTCCCGTAAAGGTACTGAAAATTTTTGTGACACCCCAGTCGCTTCTTTATCAATCTGACTGTAATTTTTCTCAGATTTATTAAGTCTCCTTGAAGCGAATGCAATGGGTTTTTCGGATCCATCTGGAAAATTATGTGACAGCACTGCTCCTAGAGCATATGGACTAGCATCTGTAGCTAACGAAAGTGGAAGATCTGGATTGAAAATGCATAAAACTTGAGGAGAAACGATTTCTAATTTTATCCAGTTATAAGCTTCTTCACATTCTTCTGTCTATTGGTATGGTCCGTCTTTCTGTAATAAATTATAAAGTGGATTTAATTTTCTAGCAATGTCTTTCAGAAACTTCCCATAATAATTTACCATTCCTAACCAACTTCTAAGTTCAGTTAAATTGGTAGGTCTTCTAGCATTTTTGACAGCTTCTATTTTCTCATCGGATTTTTCCAAACCATTTTCGGATACAATATGTCCTAGATATTTAACTGATTTTTCAAAAAATCTACATTTTTCCATTTTAACTCTCAAACCTGCTTCCTGTAATCGTCTTAAAACCATTTCAACTCTATTGATATTTTCTGTTAAATTTGATCCTTGAATTTTGATATCGTCCAAAAATACACATACTCCTGGAATATCTTCCAACGTTCTGGAAATGTACCGTTGCTATATAGCTGGGGCAACTTTGGTACCAAACATTAACCTATTTACTTTGTAGTCTCCTCTCGGTGTTGTAATAGCTTGAATCTCTGCACTTTTTGCATTCATTGACATATTTAAGTAAGCTTCTCGAATATCTGTGTTGTGAATACTTTACCACCCAACATCGTCTTTGCACAAATATCTTCTACGTTAGGCATTGGGTATTTGTCATCTTTAAGTACTTTATTAATGGTTATTTTGTAATCCGCACACAATCTTATTGTTCCATCTTTTTTTATTATTGGAACAATCGGAGTTCCCCATTCGCTATATTTTAGCTTACTAATAATTCCAGCGGCTTCCAGTCTCCTAATTTCTTCGATGACCTTTTCTTCTATGGCATAGGGTATTTTTCTTGCAGGTACGTAAATTGGCATTGCATTATCTTTGAGGTATAAATTTGCTTAATTTTTTTGGATGTTTCCCATTTCAGGTTTAAATACTTCTTCAAATGTAAGCTTCAAATTATCAATTATCTCGTTCTTTTGACTTCTATATATTCGATTTTGATTTATTTGTAAAACACCGTCGTCGCTGGATCTCATCCATTCTCTTCCGAAAATTGAATCCACCTTGTTAGGGATAATGTAAAGGTATTTAGTGTAATCATTTGCTTTGTGAAAACCGCAATAGCCAAATTCCAGGCTATTCCTATTGCTATTATTGCTCTCAGCCCCGCCCCTACGTGAAAATAAAAGTTCATGACGTAGTTAGTTTTTTCAATCTGGAAACACATCACGGTTTTGAGAACGCACAATTTTTTTATATTCTGAGCTGACACACTTACACATATATCAGCATTGCGAATTATTGAAACAATAATGTTATTTATTAAATTATTTTGGTTTAAACTTAACTTTTCTTGTGAAGTTACTATACTTTATGCCTGAAAATTTCAAAAATTTCATAGTAGATACAACAAACGTACAAATTATTGTTACTATACCATCACCATTTAGCCTATAGAATAATGTCGAGCAGTTCTTTTACTGATTTTAATATATAGTATACTACCCCACTTTTCTGAATTACATTTTAATTCTACATCAGCTAGAACAGTGCCAGGAAAAATAATGTAAAAATTGGAAGAGCTATGTAATTCCTCCTTTACCTGCCCAGTGCCCATCAAATTTGGTGGAGAGACACAAAATGACGGGCGAAAAAATTGAAAAAAACTTCTATTTTTCATGTTTTTCACCATAATAATGGTAGTTTTTGTATCTTAAACATCTGCTAAAGTTGAATTTCAATAATGGGAAAGTTATGTAGCTCTTCCACCTGCCCACCAAATTTGGAGGAGAGAAACAAAGTGAGGGACTAAAACTTCTATTTTTCATGTTTTTTGTCATATTAAGGGTAGTTTCATTTGCTAAGTAAATTTTCAATAGGGAAAGAGTTATGTGTCTCCTTCCTTACTCCTCTGCCAAATTTGGAGAATAAACACAAATAAGGGACAAAAAAGTTGTCTACATTTCATGTTTTCTATCATATTAGAGTATTTTTCGTTTCCCAGACATTTGCTAAGTAAATTTAAAATTGTGGGAGAGTTACGTGTCTCTTTCCTTACCTCTTCGCCAAATTTGTATGAGAAACACGAAATGATGGACAGAAAAATTGAAAAACATCTCTCTACTAAGTTAAAATCCAATCATCGGAAAGTTATATAACTCCTTCTTCATCTCTTCACTAAATTTGGAGAAGAGACACGAAATGAGAGGCAAAAAAATTGAAAAAAAAAAAACTTCTATTTTTCATGTTTTTTGTCATATTTAGGGTAGTT